ACAAAACACTATTCAATACCTACCTACTCCCTCTGCCCTCCTTGTTTATTTACATTCGACACATTCCCTAGGATGATTATAGTCATTGTCTTGTTTCATACAAGTAGCAGCAGTTCCAGCTCATTCCTCCGGATGATCTGGTTTTTGTCTTCTTCCTATTCTGGCATATTGAATGAGCACAGGTGGTCTCCCCTGATTTTTAATATCTACAGACAGGCAGGGAGCAATAGTTTGATTTGGAGAAGGGGAAAAAATGTTGTCTGAGGCTGAGGACTAGGTGGATATGGTGTCTACTTATGAAGTGCAGTTATAACCATTGTAAGTTTACACAAAGCTTTGCATTTTAACAATAAGTACTGACCCGTTACCCCTGTTGAACCGTTGATGCACTAGCTTCATAGAAGTTGGACAAGGTGAGTTTATATCATAGCTAAATATATTTATATTATTTATTCTAATTGCCAATAACGCCAACATACTGTGTAGATAATTGCGGACTGAGTGTAGTGTGACATTTTAACTCAAGTCAAAAGCTTTTCTAGCAGGATGAAACACCAAATACTAAAAGTCCACTGCAGGGAATCAGGGGTCATAATCCATGAACAAAAGTTTATCATAAAAAGTCAAAGCTCCCTAGAATGCAATTGCTCTTCAGAACACTAATGGAGTCATCCCACATATGTAGGAAAAGTAGTTCTAGAGAAAAAAAATTGAATCAACCAAGCAACGATGTCGCAGGAAACAACTAGAATGAAATATAACGAGTACGAGGAACCATTAAGCATGCCATTTCAAGTAATGCTACAATCAAATTGAACGGAACCTCTTGAAAGGCTACACAAGGGAAAGATTCAAGTATCATGTAAATCAAAATTATCAAACGGCAGGTTGGAAATTTGATGACTTCATGACTCAATAATATTGATAGAAGACGCATTATATAACAAGTTCAGCTTCAATTTACAGCTAAAATAAGTTCAATTATGTTAAACTACAGATGAATAGAACAAACCCTTAATACTGACTAACCATGAGATAAAGAATTTACCAAAAATGAAAATATTAAATCCAAACAATTGACGATTCCTTCAAATCACAACATTTAAAATTAATGGTAAAAAAACAATCTAAAACAAGAAAAATCAAAAATTTAAAAAAGGAATTAGGAATTTACATTACACCCAATAATCAGGCGAAGAAGATTTGACATATGACGAGCATTCTCTTCCTTTCTCTTCTTAGCACCCTGGTTTGCCATCTCTCTTGTAAATCCTACAACACAAATCAAATACATAACTCACAAACCCAGATTACATAAATTCTTCAATGGAAGATCCAAAGTTTGTCATATGATTAAAGCAAGACAAAAACAAGATGAATGGTTCACAAGTTTTATCGAAATTAATCTGAATTCAAAAAAATTTGAGGTAAGCAATGAAAGAAAGAAATTAAGACAAGTATAATCTACCTAAAGAGAAACTTCAGTTCGATTTCTGGGAAAAGTTGAACACTTGAAAAATGGTTAATTACAAAGACTACCTATTTGCGTCGGGTTTTCTTGCTCTGCTCCGAACTTCAATATGAGGGTAAGAGTTTTGTTTTGTCCGTGAAAATTTGTCAACTATTACTAAAAAAAAAAAAAAAAAAAAAAAAAAAAAAAAAGTAGCATAGTAATTTTTACCCTAATAGTGATGGTCTAGTTGATTAGTATCAAATTATCAATAATCATCAATCAATAACTATATATTAAAAGACATCATTTTATGTTTCGTTTAATGTTTTGTACTTCCCATTGTGTTTTGTTTTATTCTTAGTTCCATAATTCCCGTGTAATTTTACAAACAGGAATGTAAAAAAGGGACAGAGGGAGTATGAATTTTAGAATTCATATCTCTTTAATATGAGATTCTATACCAATCTATTCTAATTTAATAAACCAAACACCCTATAGTTTGTTTGATATCACTTTGGTTTCTGTTTATTGGTTTTCTAGATTTCAAAATCATATACTATATTTCATACAATGGATCAAAAATTGGCCAAACTTATTAAAATCATTCTATTTTTAAAAGGCAATAGAAAAATGGAAACACTTTTTCTTGTTTTTAATTTTTGGATTTTTATTTTCAAAAAATTAGAAAATTTAAAACAAAAAACGATGACAAACAAACCCAAATAATTTAAACATCAACATCACAAGAACATTTCTTTGTCATTAGTGTTCAAATTATATCGCAGCTTCTATTCCACTCATTTATTAGATGTAGGGAGAAAATAACCATTTTATATTTTTTTCCTCTCAAGTAATCTCTAATAACAAGAGTGCAATAATTTAACTTAAAATACATTGAATTGACAATGGGTAATGATTTTTACATTAGTTTCTTCGAATTTGATAAGAATCATACGAATCTATTATGTGTAGAATCAATAAAACCACTTTTCATCCTTAAAAAAAATAAAACCACTTTTTTATATTTCGTTCAAATTGTATGAAATGATTGAGCTTATTTCGTGTGTCACCCAACTTCATCCGATTCGTGTTCATATTCATTAGATATCGGAATATTGTTCGCTAATTGATTATGTAAGTAATTCGAATAAACAAAGGTATAAATTTCTGGAAATTAGGTGTGGAAGAAGGTGGAAAGGAAAGCAGGCAAAAATGTCGTGAAGATGATTTTAGCTTAGAAGGGTATTTATGGTATTTAGGAGGGGTGTATAGTAGTAACTAGAGGTTGCGTTTAGCAATCATGCTTTTTTAAAAATAAAAGTTTCAATTTAAATGCATCAATTTCCTTTTTATTTAATAAAATATCTCTCTCTCTCTCTTGCTCTCTCTTGGAGTCTTTTTAATTTTTCTCATTTGTCTTTCTATTCCAAAAATTGTCTGGGAGTCCACAATTACAAAAGTGATGCAATTAAAAAAATCAGAGGAAATAGTTCATTTGTCCACTTACTCCTTTCGTGTTTAAATAATTGAAACGTTTCTCTTGCGCACTTATGCTAGTACAAAACTTTGACTAATGATATTTTGAATTAAAAATAAGTAAAAATTATAATAATTGAATATTAATAACTATTCATTGAGATAATTCCAACAAGTACCCACAAGATTATATTTATTTATTTTTATATATAAATCACAATCATTAGTCAAAGTGAATTATATAATAGTGCAAAAAGTCAAAATGTTTGACTTATTTAAACACAGGGGAGTACCTCTTTAAATCACCTTTTTAAAACGTGTGCTTGGGTGACAAAAAAAATGAAATAGTATAAGATTTTTAGATTCTTTCCCATTATCAAAAAAAAGAAATTAGATTCAATTTTTTAATTCTAATAAATTTAGTTACAAATTAATTTAGACATTCATATGTATACTATTTGTTCATCTACCAATTAATTTAGACATTCATATGCATACTATTCCCATTATACTATTTGTTCAATTCACTTGATAAAATTCTTATTTCTTATTTCAAATTCTAGATGTATGAGTTCAAATCATACTAAATAAGGATTGACCCATATATATATATATATACATACATATATATATATATACATATATACATATATATGTATATACATATATATGTATATATATATATATATATATGTATATATATATATATATATATATATAGGGTAAAATGAGACAATTCTTAAAATGAGAATAATAAGAAGGATTTTATATGCATTTTTTTTATATTGAATGTGAATTTTTTTCTTAATGAACTGTGCAAAATAAAAAATTTGATTTAAACTACTCCTCTACTTTTTCTTTCTCCAACGCTCATCTCCTCAAGCTCCTTCACTCTCCTCCTTATCTGCATCTCCCAATCAAACACTTTCTCATCATCACCACCATTATCACCGCCATTTCCACCTCTGCCACCATTTCCATTCGGGAAATTCAATTCCTTGTTTCTTATGGTGAGAAACGAAATTTGTTTCTCGGGGCATTTTCGTGAATAAATCAACAACGTTTTTCATTATTGTGGGCTCCAAAGCTGAATAAAGTTGTTGGTTTGTTTACGAAAATGTCATGTGAGACACCATGAGAAACTAGGACATCCTCTTTTCATTCACTTCATTGCAAAAATATCTTATAGTATGTGTTCGATTTCCTCCATTCCTCGAGAAGCTAATTACCCTATATTTAAAACTCCTTTTTCTTCGGCAAGCCTAACTCAAAACGGCGTCATACACGAGTAATCGTATCTTTTTCTGGTGATTGAAGAGTTCATTTGCCGGCAAAGTCAATTCTATTCGTAAACTATGGTTTTTAATCTAATGTCATCATCAGCATACTCATCCAATATCCAAATTATTTTCTCACCTCTAAATCTAAATTAAAAATTAGAATATTGAATAAACTTTAATGAAGGAGAGAGTAAGAGACAATACAGAGGGAAATGAAACTAAAAAAACGAATGTGCATAATTTTTTTAATTAGATACGCATAACTTTTGTACTAATTAAAGCGCATAATTTTGTCTGAATGTGCATCTTGTTGCAACGTGAAATGTGAATCGTTGGATGCAATTGTATGGTCAAGATTCCTTTTCATTCTTCTTATTTTAAGATCCTTCTCATTAGATTCCTGTTAATTCGAGTCAAATTTCGAGTTATTTGGGTCATTTGGTTCGAGTGGTTTAGATTGGTTGGTTCATTACAAAATTACAATAAATGAGTTAAATCGGGTCTATTTCAAGTCAATTGGGTCTGGTCAGATTTAGGGTTCTCTCTCAGTAAAACGGGTTTGGCATCGGCTCAGGTCGGGTTACCGAGTCGGGTCAAGAATTGACATATATATATATATATATATATATATATATATATATATATACATGACATGTGTAGAAAGATGATAAAGTAGGAAACCATAAGATAGAATAAATGCACAACTATCGTAACTTTTAATAGTGAAGAATATATGCAAGATGATGATATTGATTGGATTTCTAAAGTTTGCAATTCGATACTAATGTTCTGTAATCGAAAACTAGTAGTGGTATAAGGTAAGAATTGCATATAAATAGGCGCGAATGGTTGGCCAGTTTAATGGTATAGTGTAAAACACAAATAAACTTCTTTAGTTTACACATATAACCTAAGCTTCAAATATCCTATCAAGGTAATTCCATATTAAGGGCTCTTAAATTTGGTAAAAATACCGTTTATATTTCTAGCTTGAAATTAAACATGTTTATTTAATTAAAAAATACTTGCATGTAGGCACTTATAATATTGGTATCCGTTATGTAACAGGGAAAAATGGCCTCAGCACAAGAAGCGATTGTTATGAATGACGCGGAGAAAGCAGTCGTGGAGAAGATGGTAGAGGTGGCTAAAAGCATTGGCACGACAGAAAAGGATACGGCTGTTGATGCTAAGAATATGAAACAAACTAGTGCAGTTGTTGCCATGACAAACTCCACCTTTGCAAGTATTAATTTCTCAAAATTTCATAACTGGTTTGGGCAAATTTCGGGTAGTTATCCTAAAGTTATTACTAAAGGGTCTCATGCAACTTTTACCCATAAGGCGGATGCTAAGAATGGATCCAAGAGCGCGATAGTGTATTTAGGCACAAACAAAGAAGGAATTCCATGTGGATGGCTTATGGCTTGGTGTGCACCCATTGATCCTTCCCCAACGAAACGTAACAAGGTGTATGTTACCTGTGGCAAAGCTGCTGATTTTAATAATGTGAATTGGAATCAAGTCCAAACTAAGTTGGATGCATCTACTGATCTTGTTAATTACTATGACCCAACAACTAAGACTGCAATTCATGCCAACATCCAACCAGGGTCCAACTTCGCATCAGTTGGGGCTAGCTTTGGAGCTGTTTAAGCACCACGGTACGAACAACTTATATGGACTAGGATTACTTCCTCTTATAATAAGTACGAGTACATATTCACGGGTCACTCGTAATTATACATGTTGGCTGGCTAGTACGTTCTTATCATGACTTGCATGTTAAATAAATATTTTAATATTGTACTTTAATAATAGACCCGACTTGTATCCATCTGTATTACTCTATTGTATACATATGTAATAAAAAATATGTGCTTGCTTGTTTGGTTACCCTTAATAAGGTCTCGTTTGGTTGCATATGAAAATTAAATGCCTATATGAAGTTACAATACATGGAAAATTTTATTGCCTAGGAAATACTAAAATTGTGTTTGGTTGACATATAGTATTTCTCATGAATTAACTTCCTACTTTGTATATTTTAGTTGGTTGATATTATGTAATACCATGTATTATTATAACTTGAACTACTTTCCCAAATCTTGAGGATCATAACGTAATTTCCATGTTTTTAGGAATTACAAATTAATTCCTTTGGAATTTCTACTTCCCACATCTATACTTATAAATTGTCAGTAATTATAATAAAATGATAACAGTAAATTATTTTACATATTTTTTGCTTTTATTCTAGCTACACACCAATTTTTCCTAACAATGGAATGCGATTCCTTATCCATTTTGGACTTAAATGGTTATTATCATTGTAATGATAATTATACATTAGAGGCACATGATTAGAGATCGTATAATTCCCATAGCTTACCTTAAAGTGGAATTTGATAAAATAGAATAAGTGCAAAACAATAGTAAGGTCTTGTTCAGTAAAAATAATTTCAGTTTAGTAAAAGTAAGTTCACTTCAGTAAAATTTAGTACTTTTAAAAAAGAAATATAGTTAAAATTAGTAAAAAAATAATTTCAGTTTAGTAAAATTAATTTCACTTCAGTAAAATAATTTAATTTCAACAAAATAATTTCAATTCAGTAAAAATAATTTCACTTCAGCAAAAATAAGGTGAAGTAAATGGGGCATAACTTTACATCGTATTAAAGAATATACTACACTTCGGAAACTTAAACGAATCAATTCCCACTTGATCCATTCTTCTGACTGCGCTAGCATCATCGGATACGGCAACAGAGATTCTTCCAACTTCGCTAAGTGCCTTTCTCGTGTGATAGCAAGGTTTTCTCTTTCCTAACCTGCTATCTATTCAATGAGAAGTTTTCCCGGTCTTCTTCTCTTCCCCTTTGACGAAACTGGGGCTTGAAGCGGATTCCGATGATTCCTAACCTAATGGAAAGGCCTTTTGAGGTAATATCTTTTTTGATTATTCCCATCCGACCCTTAATCAAATGCATATTTCTCTTTATTATTTGAGTAATAAATGGTAGAAATAGGTATATAATAAAAGAACGGAGGGAGCATAACGTTATGATATTTGTCAACTTCTAAACTATAGAATTTGATACAGAGTAATACGAAGTATTATTTAAAGGAAATTTGTCAAAAATAAGCTAACCTTTGCATGGTTAGCTTAAAATAAGTCAATTTTTCAATTAACTGAAAATAAGGTTGGTGTTTAAAGGAATTTTCTTTTAATAGGCCAATGAACTATGACCTATAAGCACAATATATATAATGCAATATTAAATATATATTTTGTCTAAATATCCTTTTAATATATCTTCCTTTAGCGAACATTTAAATAAAAAATAAAAAATCTTAAAAAGTTACCAACAACAAAAGATACAAAAAATATGGATTAATTACTTATCACCACCATACAATGTACGGGTAATAATCTAGTATAAATATATCACATGTTTTTTTTTCCGTCATTTCTCACACTAGAACATGGGTATTTTTGCCATTTCTTAATAGAATTAGTTGAAATGAGAGGGAGCATGTATGTAATTGTAAGTGCATTATCTATTGATCATTAAGTTATCGTCATCAACAAAGAGAGCCGAGGGAGATAAATAGGAAACAACAAATGTAGTTCATAATGAACAATACTTTATTTTACAGCTAGTTTAACTAGTTGTATGATACACAAGTTGTATGATACACAAGGTAGAACCACAAAAATTTTTGGTTGTATTACACATAACACAACCACAGCTAGACAACATACGTACAATATACTTTAATTAACTAACACAACAACATTTATGCCCTAACTGTAACTAGAGGTGTCAAAAACCGACCAACCAACCCGACCCGGAAAAAAAAAATCAAATTTTAGATTTCGACTTGTTTCAACACAATAATTTAGAATATCTCAAATTTAAAACAAACTAAGCTGACTTTATAGAACCCAATCGCGCACCCGAATTTACACTTCTGGCCGTAAGTAACCCAATTATGCAACCAAGAGTCCAAAACCCAAAACCGACGATACCTCTCGAAAACATTGAACCTTGCAATGTTGTTACAAAATGACATGAAACGTGCATACAAGTATACAACAACCATGTAGAATAAAAAAAATGGGTTTAGAAAAATACACCGTTAAACAATAATGAAGTTACTAATTATAGCATTATTAAATTAATTAATCCCCCCTTAAACTTCGGATCACAAAATCAGACAGAGGAGAGAGAAAATTCGAACACCCCTCCCACATCCTTCACACTCCCTTCCTCAACTTCCCATGACTGTAACATAAATAAAACCACCAACAACAAATAAATAAATAAAATAAATAAAACAGATCTAATTTCACACAATTTAATTAATACTAAATTATAATCAAAATTTCTCAAAATCAAATCTCAATTTTCCGCCATTGAAGCTCACCTCAAGCTTTCTTCCATGCCTCGACCTCCAAACACCGAGTTTCAAGAATGGTGGAACAAGCAGCAAAAGGAGATTCACAACAATCTCAATCATACAGCAATACCAACAGGTTCTGCTACTTCTGCTACTACGATTTCTTCTTCTTCTTCAACCTCGGAAAACCCTAATTTTCACAAAGTTGAGATCTCTGCTACTGATTCAATCTCATCGCCTATGAATCACAAGGATCGTCGGAATCGGAGTCGGAGTGTTCGTCAACTTTCGTTCTTCTGTTTATTGAAGGTTCAGCAATTTCTTCACTCAATTTCATCGATTTTCGCGTCTTTTCTCTCTCTTTTAAGAACTGCGAATCGGCGAATTGCTGATTCGCCGCCATTGCCGCATCGCCATTCGTCGAATTCTAGGTTTTATCGTTTGATTAAGGTGTTGTTAGGTGTGGTCTTGATTTTGCTGTGTTTTGAGTTGATTGCGTACTTTAAAGGCTGGCATTTTAGTCCGCCATCGTTGCATAAGGCGGAGGTGTTAGGGTTTGTTGAATTGGTTTATGCTAGTTGGTTGAGAGTTAGGGCGGAGTATTTAGCTCCGCCATTGCAGAGTTTGTCCAATATCTGCATTGTGTTGTTTCTTGTGCAATCTGTGGATCGTGCTGTGTTGATGTTGGGTTGTTTTTGGATCAAATTGAGAGGGATTAAGCCGGTCGCGGCTATGGAGTATTCGTCAAAATCTGAGGATCATAGCTTGGAGGATTTTCCAATGGTTTTGGTGCAGATTCCTATGTGCAATGAAAGGGAGGTAAGATGATGTAGGTTTCATTTTTCCCTGTTTTTTGTTTTGATTTTAAGTTTAGTGCTTTTTATTGCTATCTTAAAGTCTTGATAGTAGCTGAGATAGTTGAATTATGAACTAGATGTAGAGGAATTAAAGTTGTAGAATTTGATTTAGTAGGATGTTGAATTGTAGAGCTAAGGGTAAATTTGAAGATGGATTCTGATACGATAATATGAGCATGCCTTAATTGTTGAAGATTCATATGATGTTGTTGCAACTTTTATCTTAAAATTGATATCTTTTCATTCCGATAAGTGTTCGTGTTAAATTAAATAAATAAAGTAAAGCCAGGCATACTGTATTATTACTAACCAAGATACTAAAACATAAAGGAAAGTAATTGAAGCCTTTCCCTATAAAGTTTAAACTACTCAGATTCTAGTATGTATCAAGTTCCTAGCTTTACCAGGAAAATACTCAAATTCACATCTTTCTCACACATATTGATGTTAAAATCCGAATCCCAGATGCCCCTTTGATTTGGCTTTCTGGTTTCTGACTGCCTGAATTTTTTTTAAATATACCCAAAGTAGCTTTACTAATTCTGAGCTTTCCTTTCCCTCCAAGTAGCACCCATTTTAAACAGCATAAAGCTCCAATCTTGGTTGGCAGTATTTACTGCCAATCCATCTACTGATCTTCCTTTGAAAAATGTAATTTTATAGATTCATAAAAAAGATTTTTTTTACATGACTTTTGGACTTCCCATAGTTTGACCCCATAAATGGTGGCAAGACTAAGATGTAAAACATGTATTAGTGCCAATTAAAGCAATCTATCTTGAGTGGTCAATACTGTTAATCTATTTTGCCAGCCAACCACAGACAGGAGTCTTCTCTAAGTTTAACTAGCTAGGGGAGTTCATAGAACTGGTTTTGTCTAAAGAACTTGTATGAGGATAGCTTCTTATATGCCCTTGTATTGTGAGAACTGTTTTCAAGTTTGCAAATTATAGCATCTTGACGAAACCATTGATAATATCTTTTTATTGTTTGTCCTCATAGATTCATAGTGAGAGAAAGCGTTATGGATGCTATGAGATAGCTGGATATGTCTTGTAGCCTGCCCAAGATTAAAATATAACTGTGCTATCAAAATTTGGGACTTTTTAGTTTTATACGTACTATATATTACATCTGTTTGTTTTTTAACCAGCAGAAAGGTTCCATTAAGTGGCAATGGCAGTGTGGCACTAAGTAGATAATGTAGCAAGATTTTTAGTGTTTTTTTATAGAATTGAAATGAAAGTCAATAATACAATTAGCTTATGCTTTTTTCATGCCATGGAATATGCCAATATTTGGACTTTTACACTATTCAGATACTCGCTTTTGACCGTCTAGTATGAGTTATACTTAGCGAAAAATAAATTCATATGGGATCTTCTTAAGTCAGTGTCGTTATGTACATTCGTTATGTACATACAAAGTACCAACTTTTTTACATTTTTACTTGTATAAAATGAAAGATTTTAATGGTTAAAGTTGTGTGTTTGGAAGCATAAACTCTACATGTTGGCATATTTATGGAATGGAGGAAGTAGATCATTAAATGATGTTAAGGCCTAAAAAACAATAGTAACTACTGTGTAATGAGACTTGATCTATATTCTTGTCCAGTTAAGCAGTTCTTCCTAAGATCTTC